CCTTCTGCCTAAGAGGATATTAGTATTATTTCCACACCCTAAATACTAAAACTGAAGTTGAGAAAGCTTTCGTGATTTGTCCAGCTGAACATAACCAAAGCAGAATTCTTGATTCACCCCCTTCCTCCCCATCTCTACTGTCCCCTCTCATCTACACCATTATTGAAGGAGCCGCCTAACTCGCCTCCTTCATTCCACCTCTAAATCCTCATAAATCATTCTCCCTCTGTCCTGCAGCTAGAATTACCTTTTCAAAAATAAATCTTCTCTGCTTAAATTTTCCAATGTCTTCCCATTTCACTTAGATTCAAAACTTAAATTCTTTCCCCAACATGCAAAGCCCTGCTGGATGTGTCTCCCAAGTACTATCAGACCACTTCACATGCTCTGCACTTTACCTGCATCCTCTAGCTCTCTCGCTTCTTTCTCCCCAAAACCTGCCAGCTCAAGCCTGCCTTTGCATCTGCTATTTCCTGAAAGCTCTTCCCATATATTTCATAGCCACTAAATGTCACCTCATCACAGAAACTCTCCACACCACCTACTGCAAGGTGGACCTTCAGAAGCCCTCTCTCCCACCATTCTCTCTCATTTTCCTCTTATCATTGCCTAATAGTTTTTCTCATTCATTAATTCCCTTACTAGAATATAAGCTCTGAAAGCTAACATTAATGCATAATGCTTATGTAGCTCCTATTTTGTGCCAGGCATTGTTCTAGCACTGCAGACATGTAAACTCACTTAATCCTTCCCACAGGCCTAAAAAGGTACAGTATGAACAGCTCTATGTTTCATAGGATGAAACTCAGGACAGAGGCAGAGTAACTTACCCCCAGTCACACAGCGTGTAAACAGTAGTTGGGATGCAAGCCCAGGCACCCTGGCTGTAGAATGTGTGCTTCTTAACCCTCCGCTTTATGGCCTTTGTGAGTGGGCCCTTATTTGTATTGTTCTTTGCAATATGTGCAGCACCCATAATAGTGCCTGTCAACCAAGAAACACCAGTAAATGTTTGTAGGATAAATAAGTGAATGTTATGTAACTAAAGACAAGCCTGCCTTTGGGTCAAATTGGTCTGACTCCAAACCCATATTCTCCAAAGTATAGGGATTAGAGGACTATAAAGTTCAAACCAGATGTTCATTGAAAGCTGCCCTCTACTCCAAAGATGCTTATAGCCCTGTGGAAAATGCACATGTAAATAACTATAAAGCAAGATAGAAAAATTTAAGTGCCACATGAAAAGATGCTCCATCACTAACCATCAGGGAAATGCAAATTAAAACCACAATAAGATATTACCTCACACCAGTTAGGACTGCAAACATCAAAAAGACAAGGAACAACAAATGCTGGTGAGGATACAGAGAAAGGTGAACGCTCTTACACTGCTGGTGGGAATGTAAATTAGTTCAACCATTGTGGAAAGCAATATGGAGGTTCCTGAAAAACTAAAAATAGAAATACCATTCCACTAGTAGGAATTTACCCAAAGAAAAAAATATCCCAGATTCCAAAAGACATATGTACCCCTATGTTTCTTGCAGCACTATTTACGATAGCCAAGATATGGAAGCAACCTAAGTGTCAATCAATAAATGAATGAATAAAGAAGAGGTGGTACATATACACAATGGGATATTATTCAGCCATAAGAAGAAAACAAATCCTACCATTTGCAACATGGATGGAGCTAGAGAGTATTATGCTCTGTGAAATAATCCAGGCAGAGAAAGACAAGTACCAAATGACTTCACTCATCTGTGGAGTATAACAACAAAGCAAAACTGAATGAACAAAACAACAGCAGACTCACAGACTCCAAGAAGGGACTAGCGGTTACAAAAGGAAAGAGGTTAGGAAGGGTGGGTGGGGAGGGAGGGAGAAGGTGATTAAGGGGTATGATCAGCACACATAATATAGGAGGGGCACGGGGAAGAGTGTATAGCCCAGAGAAGACAAGTAGTGACTCTATAACATCTTACTATGCTGATGGACAGTTACTGCAATGGGGTGTGGTGGGGGGACTTGATAATATGGTTAAATGTTGTAGCCATAATATTGCTCATGTGAAACCTTTGTAAGATTGTATATCAATGATACCTTAATAAAAAAAAAAAGAAAGGAAAAAGTGCCACAAGTAAGGAGCATAAGAAGTACCATAGGAGTTTCTGGTCAGCGGTAGATAACTTTTAACTGGAAGTTCAAGGAAAGATCTGTGAGAAAAGTAGCATTTGTACTGGATTTTGAAGCATTTGGCCAGGCAGAGATAAGAAGAGTGTAACTTGAGACTATGAGTTGTCCCCTATTACCTGTTCCCTCCTTTCCTTCAGCGATCATACCCCAAAATTTTAGGTGTGCAACTGAGTACCCAGAATAAAGATTACATGTCCCAGTGTCCTTACAGCCAGGTATGGCCACATGATCAGGTTCTGGATAAAAGGATACAGCTGATGCAGGGTATGCAACTTCCAGAAAGTATTCTTAAATGCAAGAAGCATGCCCCTCCTTTCCTTTCCTCCTTCCTGCTGGCTGGAGTGTGAACTTAATGCCAGCTGGAACAGCTCCCTTTGACCTTTGGAGGAAGCCACATATTGTGAATGGTGGATTATAATGGGTCCGTGATGATCATAAATTGCATATGAGACCCACTGTGATCCTGTTTAAGCCGCCATTGCATTAGTGTCTTAGGTTGAGCTGCCAGCAGCAGGTCCTCAGACAAGGCTTCTTTTGCAAGTGAATTATTAAGCAAATGTTCCCAGGAAAAACCAGTAAGGGAGTGTGGGAAGGAAGCCAAGGAAGAGGAGGAAGGCAAGAGTGTGCTTTTGGCAAAGTCCCAGCCTCAGCCTGATCCTGAAGGGAAGCTCTGGAGGCAAATTACACCTCAGAGTGTGTCCTAATTGGAGACAAGGGGATTGGACTTCGTCCTTCTTCACCAGTTTAGCTAAAGGCTGCCCCAGGCCCTCAGCATGTGTAGAAACTGTGGTAGATGATCAGCAGGTCCAAGGATATCGGATACAACCTCAGCAGGCCCCCAACACTGGGGTTTCAGTCACTCATAGCTGAACCTAATCCTAACAAGTACCAGAGCCATTCTGGCAGAAAGAGTGTGAAGTGCACAGAACCGGGTAGAACAAGGGTGTATATGAAAGTACAGGAAAGGAAGAAATGGAAAACAAAGTTGTGAAACCAAATTGGAGTCATTGGGACTATATGGAAAGCTTTAAACACCTGGCCATTCCATATAAAAAGAAGCCAGGAGGATCTTTGAATATATGATTCAGAAGATTAATCTGGCAATTGTGTGTGGGTGATCTGGAATGAGACATGTGTGGGGTAATACCCATTATAAGTCCATGTTTACAGAGTAGGCAAGAAGACACAATAGCCCAACTCAAGGTGGTGGTTCTGGAAAGGGAAAGGAGGGGACAATTGCAGTCTTGCAAAGACTCAGTCTTTTTAATTGCTTCAGTGTGGGAAGCAGAAGGCAGGGAATCTGAACATGAAGCCAGGGCTGGGTTCTAGCCAACTTGATGAAAGGAGAGTGGTGTCGGCAACAGAAATGGGAACAGAGGGGAAGGAAGGCAAGTGAAAGGGAAGATGAATTTTGTCTATTGGACATAGTGGTTTTGAGATGAAGGGGAGGCTTCTGACTGGAGTTGCCCAGCAGGCAGTTAGAAATGCAAGGCCAAGAAGTCCCACATGGGGCTATGGATCTATAGATTGTTGTCTACAGAGATGTGATTATTGAAGCCACGGATGTAGATAGGATCGCTAAGGGAACGCGCACAGAGGAGAAGGCTGAGGCAGAATACTTGGAAACTGTGCTGTTAATTACCTTTTGTCTCTCAAGACCATGGCCATCCACCTGTAATGCTGGCTTGAAGATTGGCAAATGACTTTCCCAGACTCGTGCCAGGGGCTTTCTATTAGATTCTGCTAGTGAGAGGCACTGGGTGTCATTGGAAGAAAGTTGGGTGAAAGTGGAGCTGCCTTTCCTGTTTCAGCTCCTGTCAACATCCCTCCAGGATGGCTGTACCCCAGGGGTCTGCAAATTCTTTCTTTTAAGGGAGAGATATTAAGTAGTTTAGGTTCTGCAGACTATATGGTCTCTGTTATAACTGCTCAGCTCTGCCATTGTAGCATGAGAGCAGCCACAGACAATATATAAGTGACCAAGCTTGACTGTTCTAATAAAAACTTTACTTAGGGACCTTGAAGTTTTGGAATTTGTATAAATTTCATGTGTCATAAGATATTTTTTCTTTTCCATTTTTTTCCTCTATTTCAGAATGTAATAAACATTCTCATAGGCCACAGAGAACAGGTGGCAACCAGACTTGGCCTATGGGCTGGAGTTTGCCTTGCACTGGCCAACTGGTTTAGGTGTTCCTACCATGCTTCCTCGGAGGAACCAGCGCTGGCCGCGAGGCACCCACCCAGGGTCCACACACCAGTCACAGGGCATCCCTATTTGAGGTCTGACTAAGAGCCATTGGACACTGCTCCTCTGAGCCCAGAGGTTCCAGCGACACCTCTTATCTCTGTTCCTCCTGTAGTTACCATATCAGGTCACCACGATGCCTCCATTTGTTCTTCCCACCCTGGACACACCTCCCTGTGCACACCCCCTCTGTTTGGAGGGCCTTGCATGGAATTGATTTCCAGCTGGACCCAGACTGACACTGAAATCCTTCCATTTGAGGGACAGGAAGGGTAAAAGGATACCAAAAAGGAGGCAAACTAAGAACATCTTGACACAGAAGGGAAAAGAGTTTCAGGATGAAGGGCATGGTGAGTGGCAGTTACTGCCACTGCAAGAGAAGGAAACCTGAGGAGCAGATGATGATTAGAAGACCAGGAAGAACAGGAGACCCTCCAGAAGCAGCCCCCAGGGATGGCAGGGCTAGAAGCAAGCTGGAGGCCAGCAGCTCCTCTGGCAAGCATGTGAAGGATAGTAGCTTGAGGGCAGGCTCTGGTGTGATGCCTGGGACGCTTACCCCCACGGGAGACAACGTGCCCATGGCAGGACTGCTGATCACCTCCACCTTGGCTCCCAGGAAGTAGCCACCTTCCCTCCTCCAGTAACTCACCCCCCCGAGCACCCTCCCTGCCCTGCCTTTGATGGCAGATCACATGAGGGCAGCTGGCCAAGGGTCCCTGCTCTTGCAGGTGGCCTAGTGCTGGACTCTGCCCCAAGGGTTAGGCAAGTGTAGGCAGATTGCCATATGCTGCTTCCTCAGCCCTTGCGGAGGGCTGACCAGAGCGGGACAGTCAGGGACACCCTGCAAGAGCTGCCACTGTGGGGGCAGAGGGCTGTGGGTGTTTTCAAAGTCTTCATGACTTATTAGTTAACTCGGCAAATGTTACTCAACTTCTTATGTGCCAGGCACTGCTGTGGGTGCTGTGAACACAGCAGTGAGTGAAAAACTCTATGGCTTCCAGGAGTTTACATTCCTGTCCAGGGAGACAGGTCATCAAGGAAGAAACATCAAAGGGCAGGTGCTGACAAGTGCTCTGAGGGGAAATACAGCAAGTGAGGGGGTGGGGGCGTGCAGTATGGAGTGCTTGCTCCATAGAAGGTCAGGTCAGGGATGGCCTCTGATAAGGTGAAAGGTGAGCAGAGGTATGGAGAAAGAGAGTAAAGAATGTTCCAGACAGCTGGAAAAACTAAAGCAGAGTCAAGAGGTGGGAAGGTATTTGATGTCATTCAGGGGTCCTCTTGAATTCCTCTCTTCTCACCTCCAATCAGGGGACTGTTTCCCTGGAAAGCTCGGTCCTTACATGGTCAGAACAAAGCCAAAGCGTGAGGGAGCCACAGCCAGTCCGTGACCCCTTCCTGGAAGGCAGTGGAGAAGAGAGTCCCTATGTGATCTTGGGTCCAGAAAGAATGAAGCCTGGAAGCAAGAGACCCTGGGTGGCTGAGTCAGGCAGGGGACTAGAGCCAGTTCCTGCCCTGCAGAGACATGGGAGCAGCTTGCAAGATGCCAGCCTTGAGGATTCCCAAAGGGTCTGTGCCTCCACGTCCAGCTTCCTGCTCCAGAGCCCCAAGCAGAGTCCTGGGGACTGGACAAAAAGCTGAAGCTCTGAGAGACCACATTGGCTGGGGACAAAGCTCCTGGCCCAGAAACTGTGCAGAGAACAGGTGGTAGCTCTGCATACGCTAACTGCCTGGAGCTAGAGGAAGGGACAGAGGGGGAGACCAGGTCCAAGAACTACTGGACCAGTCATGGTGGCTCACTCTCTGCCAGGCTCTACCCCAGGCTGTGGAGTTTAATTCTCTTAACCTGAGAGTCATGACTATGCCCATTTTAGCCCATAAGAAAACTGAGTCTCACAGAGGTCACACAGATATCCTGAAGACACAAAAACTACAGACCCCAGAGCCTGCTCATACACCCACGCTGCTGGGAAAGCACCTCTGCAGCCTTGCCAGGGGCCCCCAAGATCAAGGCTAACACCCAGGTCTGCTCTTTGGTGAGAAGATGGGTCAGGGAAAGTAGGATGACAAGTGATTCACTCCCTTCTTCTGAGACCCCAGGCCTTCAGCCTTTGCACCCTAAGCCTAGTCAGATCCCAAACTCATCTGATAATGGTACCAATTAGCAGGAATGCGTTCCAAAGGGAGAGTGGGCCCCAGCCCAGGGGGTCGACCACAGGCCTCTCTCCTACAATTGCTCGAGGCTTGTTGCAGCCTCTAGAACTTCTGGGCTTCTCTGTGCCCCTACCACCCACATTTCCTCTCCTTTCTGCAGGGACTTCCATGCTGCCACCAGAGTCTAGCCTAAGGAACAGCCCCTAGTCCCTGCACAGCTCTACAGCACCCTCAGGCCCCTCTCCCTGCCTGCCTCTCCTCCAGGGTGGGGACTGGGCTGAAGTAGTAGCTTGGGCTTTGAATTTCAGAACAAATCGAGAAAACCAGGCCCTGGTAACCCACTGGGACCTTGGAAGGGGCTAGCAGCCCCAGGGGTCATGTGACAGCCTTCAGTTTCTTGTTCCCATCAGGCTTTGCTAAAAGGAAGCCACTGCCCTCTCGGCCCTAGGGGTTGGGTCGGGGTGGCGCATCCACAAATAATGCAATGTCAGAAATTCCAGAGCTGCCCTAGGAACTAAGCCTCATATTCTGCTTGAAGAGCATCCAGAACGTGGTGAGACTGTGAGGGAGAGAGAGTACCTGTTCCCAGGTAAATTCATGAAGACAAAAGCCCAGAAATCGAATCTGAACTGAGGGCAAAGACCAGGGGCTCTGGTATGTCATTGGTCAAGGTGAAAACTGACACAGTATCTCTAAAGTTGTTCAGCAGTCTCCTGGGTAGGGTTTGGGGCCATCCCACTGCTACCAACCTTTAAACCACCTTTCCTGTCCACAGCCCGAGGTCACCACTGCCCCTGGTGTCTGAACTCTAGAAATAGAAACGAGTCACTTGGCCTTCTAAACACTTGGTGCTTAATCTAATGCTTGATTTATGAAGGATGAAACGGTGGCCTTTTGCAGCAGTTGCCTTACTGGGCACTGGAGTTCTGGATGTAGTGTCCGGATCCCAGCATTCACATTGTCTCTGCACCATGCTTTCCACTATACAACAGGGTCATGCTATCCCCTCACTCTTGCCCTAAGACTTTGCTCTGGTAGGGAGGGGTGCTGGGATCACTCAGCCCTAATTATCAGTACAATAAAAGTCAGCTTATTCTCCTTTTCCTGTGGCTTATGAGCGCAGGAACACAGTGGTAGTTGAGGGGAAGGGAAGCTCATCTCCCAGGATGGGATTTTGACCTCAGATACACATCATGGGGAAAGAATGTCCTCCCTCTGAACACAGTCAGGGCAGCTCTTGCCCTAGCATAAACCGGGCATTGACTCAGCTGCAGGACATCTGCTGCGATCCCAGTGAACAGGAGGGCAGCACCAGAGGCCCGGCCGTCAGGGATCCTGGGACAGGATCCCCAATCACTGTGCACTCTGAGGCATGAAGCCACAAGGGCAGACCTGGATGTGTGAAGGAGCCCTCGGACAACGGGGTCCCAGCAAAGCCAGGAGCCAGGAACCACATGGCTTTGAAGCCAAGCCAGCAAATGATGGCCACCTGCTGGGTCCCAGAACAGAGGGCAGAGGAGAGTGTGGAGAGTGGTGTTAGGCAGGTATCCCTCGCAGGGTGACAGAGCCACAAGGGCTATGTGCTGGGAGGCTGGCACAAGGCTTTCCAGGTGGAGAGACTATCAGTGTGATTAGGGTGAAGAGAGACAGGCTGGCTGCCCTCCTCACCCAGCTCGTCCCCCACCAAGGGCAGGGTTCAGGGGGATCTCCATGGAAAAGGCTGTAATGACTTTTGGATCATGTGCAGTGGTTAAAAAACACAGGCTTTAGAGTCCAAAGGAACTGCTCTAAGGACATGACTCTATTAGTATCTGAATGGTCAGGCCAACAATTCTCCAAGTGTACTGCTAGGTCTAGCAGCATCAGCCTTACCTGGGAACTTAATAGAAATGCAAATTCGTGGGCCCCACCCCAGCTTTCTCAGCAACACTCTGGGGGTGACATTCGATGTACTATGTTTGTTCAGGCTCTCTAGGTGGTTCTGCTGGATGAGAAAGTTTGAAAACTGCTAACGTAGAACAAAGTTACCAACCTCTCTAATACACAGTGTTCTCATCTGACAAATGGGGATAACAGTGTCTACCTCAGAGGGTTATTGTGAGGACTAAATGAGACACTGCAAACACAGGTTAGAGCTCAGCCCACAGTAAGCTTTCTGTGAATGGCAACTGTTATTACTGTTGTCTCCTACCTAATATGCAAAATGAGGATCCAGGGCCTGGTGCTGCCCTCTTCCTGGGCCACCCAGTCAGTGTCATCTGTCAACACCCAGGGCTGACAGGAAGATGCCTGGTGCACCTCCCCCTGGGGGGGAGGCTCACCATGTAGTGAGCAAGCCAGAAGGGCTGGTGGGTGCCCTGGGTCAGGTCCTAGCTTGGGAGCTACCAGCTGGGCAAAGCTGTTAGATGTGAAGCTTCCTTTTGCATCTCCCACACCACCTAATGGGGGACATGCTCTCTGCTCAGTCCTCACTGAAGCGTAAAAATCGTGCTCAGCTTCTCTGTGTCTCACATGCCCATGAGCCTGCACCACCCCCAGCTGTCCCCCCTACACCTTCCACCCCCTCAGGGGTATTGGAAAGCTATCAATCGAACAATAGACCAGCTGGGTAAATGTGCTTGTGCAAACACAGACTGTTAGGGATGTGTGGGAATTGCAAGCTAACCTCATGGTGTGAATGCCATTGTTCTCCCACCTGACACTTGGGCAAGGGCACATTCTGGTCTCTATGGTTACCAAGAGCAGCCTTGCTCATGAAGACCTAGAATGTAAACAACAGGAACTGAGTCCGTGGTTGTCTTGTCTGGAAGGAGACATCACACTGGGGCAAGAGAGGAAAAGCGGGATACTTGGGGGCTCCCTGGAGCAGGAGAAATCTCTTTACCCAAAACTGAATTTCACACATGCAGAAATTTCCCTGATTTATTCTTGGCACACAGGATTTTGAAGTCTTTCCCATTTGTCTTCATAGATGTCATTTTTAAAATGTGTTTTCAATTTTTCTTTTTGAGTTAACTACATGTCAGTCTTTCTTTAATACATGTTAATTTCCCATTTAATAAGGAAGCTCTGTGAGAAGTAGTAGTTGCAGCTCCAAGAGGTAAAAATTCCACCTTGGAAAATAAGGTGGGTGAGCTACTGAATTCAGAGTAAACATCAGAAACTAAGAAACCTAAAGTCAAATGTCCTGTATTCACATATGTATGATGATTATAGTTTAAATTCTAGGTCTCTGGTGGCAACCTTCTTTTCTTCATGCAGCTGCCAAACAGGGATATGGGTAATGATATGGTAATGATCACAATTTCCTGGATCCTCAGGTTATTTTTGTGTACAAATATAAACCATTATTATGAGATAAAACAGAGTACTGGTGTGAGATTTAAGAATGCTCAGGGGTTTTTTTCTTCATATCTGATGTGCTGGCTGATTCTGGCCTTAACTCTTAGCCT